AAAACACCATCACACAAATCAACCTGTCATTACCATGGACACCATAAACCACCCCTCTTGACGCCCATCGTACTAAATTAAAAGCGAAACTGGACAATTTCCTCCTTCAAAAGCTAATATTTTTACAATTCGATGGTGTACTTTGGCACTTGCAAGACGCCATTTTGGTGAAAACTTGTCAATGTCAAAGCATTAATGTCTGTAGGCAGTTTTGTAACGTCAAACTGGAATTTTACATTAATCAGTTTGTTAATGAAGTTAGGTGAGGTCCTCTTTCTAAAATATGAAACAATATGTGAAACAACGCTTGCATTGTGTTACGTCGAATGAGTGAGGTTATCGGAATTGAGAAATTACCCTCCCCCGTTCCTCAATGCCTGAATCTCCAACAATCCTCAAATTCCTAATAGGCCGGTAACGCACTTGTAACACCTCTGGTGGTCAGGGTGTCCATGGGCGACGCCGATTGCTTACCATCAGGTGATCCGTCTGCTCGTCTACCGGATTATACCATAAATAAAAATGTAGAATGGAGAAGAACGAGCTAGAAACTGCATCGTTAATTTATGTGCTTTTAAGGTGATAAATCAGTTAGTTACATTTCAATTAAAACGCAAACAATGCTGTGTGACGGATAGGAAGTAAAACAAGGGGAGATTTGGGTTAATGTTTTACAAGGTACTTGTACCGTGACCTGTCAACATACCTTTTGTCACTAAAACAGCTTTAGCGCAATAAAATTCTTAACGTTAACGAAATTGGGTCGAGATTAGTTCGTGTTTGGTGACACGCAATTTCGTTTGGTTAAAGTTCAGGAGAGGCGTGGTTGATATATATTTTAAATCGTGCGTGACATTGGCAGGTCGTTGACACTTATCGCTGTATAGTGATTTTGTAAACGGAAGCTTTTTGTTCTGTGATACAAATAGAGCAAAAGTAGGTAGTACTTCTTAATCGCAAATGTGATATCTTTTACTTGGAATAATTATGACTAATGGATTCATATTAATTGTTAGGTTAGGTAGCCTGGCCAACATAAGACTCTGTTACCTTTTGTACATTTTCATAATTCTTACTAATATTATAAATCGGAAAGTGAGTTTGTTTCTTTGTTTGTTTGTTCCGCTCTCACGCCGTAACTACTAAACGGATTGCTTTGAATTTTTGCAGACGTAAAGTTATAAATCTGGATTAAATAATAGGGTATTTTGTCCCGGAAAAATTTGAGGAGAGGGAAAACGAAATTATTGGTACAGATGGCGCTATGTGTATTAGTATATATCACATAGGCTACTTTTTATCCTTTTGTGACGCGAGCGAAGCCGCGGGTAAAAGCTACTGTAATATAATCACATAGAAACGCTGATTAAAAGCAGAACTGATTTTCATTTTCACTATACGCTAACCTTTTTAAAAGAGCTATTTTTGCGAAAATGTTTAACAGCCCTTCAGTATGGGACTAGGGACAAGTTTGTAAAAGGCTTCATAAACATTAATATTCAAATGAAACAATTTCCCTGTAATTCTGAAGGTTATAGTAGAAGTTTCGTCACTCGAATAATTCCTAAATGCCGCGCCTTTGCAAAATTTAATTATTATTATTAATTAAATGTAATATCGCGGAAATGTCGTGCTGTAAGTTGTTTTCATTTTATTATTTGTTTATTTAAATTTTCATCAAGCTTTTTGTCAAAGGGTAGGGTAGAATACTTAACAGATTCGATTAGTCATTTTGTTCTATTTCAATTTTTTTATGCCTCACACTAGTATCTTCTCCTGAGTCGTGGGTGCGTTAACAAACATACAAGTATCACACACATAACACCCAGACCCGGAACAACAATTTGTGGATCACACAAATTATAGATATTTGTTCCGTGCGGGAACGCACGAAGCGCTTCGCTTCAAGCTTCCTTGTGCGTACTGCTAAAGAGTGGAATTCTTTGCCGGAGTCTGTATTTCCTGAAGGGTATAACCTGGGAGTCTTCAAGGCCCGAGTGAATAGGTTGCTTATGGGACGACGTGCTCCAACGTTGACCGCATCATCGCTTACCATCAGGTGAGATAGTGGTCAAACGTCGCCCCATCAATTATAAAAAAAAAAAAAGGAATCAAATCCTCGACACGTTGCGCGGCAGCCAGTTGTCCAGCCACCGCGCCAACTGTGCAGTCAAAGCCGTAATTTAGTAGTACCTCAGCATACAACACCAAAGGAATCATAGGACCCTACTATTTCCAAACATCGTGGTATTATTTTGACAGTCTTCAGAAAAAGAGGTTCTCAGTTCGACCTGTGTGTGTACGTTTGTGCGCTTTAGGTGCCATTTTGCGATTGGCTGATTCGATTTAGATGCGGTTTTCAGAAAAAAAAAATTATTACACTTAGGAAAAGGTTATAGTATATTTTTTTATGGGATAAGTCGGTAAGCGAGCAGACGGATCACCTGATGGTAAGCAATCGGCGTCGCCCATGGACACCTGGAACACCAGAGGCGTTACAAGTGCCTACCTTACCTTTTGGGATTAGGAATTTGAGGATTGTTGGAGAATCAGGGATTGGGGAAAGGGAGGGGAGGGGGGGAATTGGGCATCCGGTAACCTCACTTAGACGACAGTATATTAATTAACTGACACCAAGAAAGGGTTGAAGTCGGTTTTTTTTAATGTAATTTATAAGAGAATTATTTTATGTCTTAGTAACCTTGTATGTCAATGAAATTAGTCTTCTTTCTACTCGTAAGGTATGTACGCGGCTCTAACAACTAATATTTTGATGCAGCATATTGGAGATGTCTCCGCCTTGTACAATGATCGACCTTGGCAATACATTCTACCAAAATCGATACCCACCACATCGAGCATTACTATAATGTCCATAATCGGCGACGACTCGATTAAAGTTATGGAAAAATACCTACTTCTATTATTTGCTTACAAAATATTATATTAACATCACGCCTTTTTATCCCCGAGGGGGTAGTCAGAGGTGCACATTGCGACATTTAATGCCACTATACAATGCAACACCAACTTCTTTCATTATTTATGTTATAAGTCCCTTAGTAATAGGGGATGGGCATATTGCCATATACCGGGCACAATTCCAGACTCTGTGCTACTACTGAGATTTTCTTAAACACACAGTAATACATTGCCCTACCCGGGAATCGAACTCGAGTCCCCTTGCAGCAGTCACACTTGCGACCAATCGATCAATGAAACAACCGTAAATTCTATATTACTGGAGTATTATTATTATTATTAAAAAAAATATTAACTAATATGCTTCGATAGCTTTTTTAATGGCAAAACAAGTCTACGCAATTAATATTTGATTCCCGGGTCTGTAAGGAAGAATTTCTTGAATTTTCTCTAGAAAAGTATACCAATATTTGAAATCAAACACGTTGAAAATTTTTGAAAATCATCCCCTAAATTTGTTCATATAAAAGTAGTCTCTAAACGTTGGAAATAAAGTCTATACTTAATGTAGTTAGTGTAGTCTTGGTTTAGTTTTTTTTTTCTATTCTTTTTTTCTATTTTAGTATGTTCTGTTATTTGTATGTTGCGTCAGGTATGTCTTTACATTATTCTCACATGTGTGTACAATATTGGAATATGTATCAGAGCAATGTAAAACAGACTTTTTTTAAAAAGAGTAACGAATGGAGTTTCTTGCTCGTTCTTCTCCACTCGAATCGACATTTTGGAACGAGCGCCTAGCTTCACTGACGGACAGACTGACAGACTATTATATATCTCATATTTGTTGACGTTTCAAAAGTACCAAATTATGGTCTAATTGAAATAAATGCTTTTGAGTTTGAGTTTGTAGAGCTGTAACCGGTGACCGCTTGGGGATATACGGGATTGTAAAACACAATGATACGAACAATATAGCAAACATCAGCATTGTAGGAAAAAAGCGTGTAAAATTTTCATGACAGAGAGGGACGCAGAATCAAAACGAAAGATCAAATAAAAAGATACTCAAAACAAAACGCGCTTTACTTCATACATGATTAACTTAAAACGTCAACACAAAACTGTACATCCTAACATCAATCTTACTACCTTATATCAGAGTCTATTTTCAGTATTCATATGGTACCCACGGGTACCCACACATCGAGATATCAAAACCAGTGTATCCAGACCTCGCTTAGTGTAATCTTTCTGCAATTTCGAAGATCAGTATATACTGGTTTAGTATAGTGTATTTGTTGCTGTGTGCTAGGGTATCACAATAGATGAGAAGCAGCCCTTATGTTTTGAAGGGTTCTGCTTATTACGGGGCTTGAAAGAGATGCAGGGTTAGCACGAGTGTAGGGCTCTTGAATGGTAAGCCAGTTGTAACTATGTACACGTTTCAAAGATGCCTTGATGGATTGCAACCTTTATGGTATGTCATCTTGTGAATGGATGTCTTTAAAGATAGTACCTAGTAACAGTTTGTTTTGTGATTTGTTGTTTTACGATTGTATGCGTTTATTATCATGTATTAACATTAGAATCCGATAGTTCCTTAGCATTACATTTTTTAAAATGTATGAAATGGAATTGCGTAACAAAACATACTAACTAATTATTAAAGAATGCTTCATTACTTAATTCCTAAATCTATACAGGGTCTTTAGCCAAACGCCACTTTAGCGCTTGCCTACAGAGAGATTAGAAATCAAAATGCATGGGGATGACACTGACAAATGTCAAAATTTACGTCAATTCCATATAATTTGGTTTTCTATTCTACATGTAGACAAGCGCTAAATGGCATTTGGCTACAGCTGCTGACGTGCTACAATAGACTATAATTTGAAACGATGCAGCTCTAAACATGTTTCACATAATATAATCATTCGACCATTTTAGAACTCTTAGAATGAAAAGGATAATTATTTACTTTCAACTGATCTTCACATTTTAGGCACGAAAATGGTCATTTTCTCACAATTTAAGCGTTTTTTTAACTAATATTAAAATGAGGTTGTGATACTAACATTGATTCTATTCTTGGCTCGCTCGATGGCCTTGGAGTCTTCCCTCTCGGGGCTCAGTCGACAGACCCGCGCTCTCCAGTCGTTCGCGCCCGCTGCTTGAAGAGCCGCCAGCCTGTAAAGACAGATAGAAAAAAAGATTATTAAAGGAAAATAACTATTATAAATATAAGGGACCTAATAGTAGGTACCTAATCATGTAAAGCTTCTGAAATACTCAAAAGTCTAAGCTACAACTGTAACTTTTCATTAGGTAGGTATAAATTGACAAATACACAACATTGCTATAAAATTTTTGTTTGTTATGGCATGTAAAAATTAGATAGTAAATTCAAGTCGAAAATCTGCACAATATTTTTTTTTGAGGGGGGAAAATCATCCATTGTCTGCTCCCGCCTTGGGTTAGGTGAGAGGGAGTGTCAGACTCTTACTAACTAAAAACCACCCCCTTCCTACTCCTACTCTTCGAGCCAGAGCCCCCGGCAACCCGTTAGGCCATCTGTGGCTCCGTATAAGTGCATAATATTTAAGATTTAACATTAGCTATATCAAAACGACTCACAAAGAAATAGAAATACAATCAAAGACACATTAATCCTTAAAGATTAACACGAAATAGTTATTATATAACACACAAATGAGGCGTATGAACAAAACAGTAAACACAGAAGGGACACAGGATAATCCAACTTATTTAGGTACAAACATAAAAGGTGATTAACCTACTGTAGTTGACCTTATTTCACACGCAATCGTGAAGAGAGAATCGCGGAAAATGTAGGTATTGTTTTGTAGGGCTTCCAACAAAACAATACATTTTCCGCGATTCTTCTTCGAAAAGCATAATAATCGAATAAAAATTGTGTTCCTAACCGATCTTTGGGAATAATATGACATATAAATGCATCCATGCTCTCCCCCACATTACGCTGCTGCCTTAAATCTCTAGACAATTAAGTACAATTACATCGTAATGTCCAATCCTTGTTTCTCCGCAACCTATTTGAGGACTAAACCATTTAACCTCTTGAAAAATGTAATGTACACATGAAACTAGAATTCCATGAAACTAGAATTCTGTAAAACATCAAACTATCAGTTTAACACATAATAAGTAACTACTTCAAACAAATAAACTATAGAAAACATTAAACACGGACGCAATCAATTACATTTAAGACAATATAATTCTAACTTGTAATATTTCAATCTCCGTTTACATATTGTTACTAAGTATATAAGGAAGATAAGATATGCCCTGTCCCTTACTTAAACATTTATTAAATATGTGTTGTCTTGGACCCTACGGCCGGTGACCTTTAGTCCTTTATCTAGAAGTCATTAACTTCAATTAGTCGGTAACAACCATGCATCACTTGGCAGTAAATACTTTAACACAATTACCATAATAGTTACGTTTTTGGGTATTTTTAGAGATCATACTAGCTACTAATATATTATCTACATTTTTATAGATAGGGCAGTAAACAAGTGTGGGGTTAAGCGTCATAGAAACCTGACGTGAAACAACGCTTGCGTCGAGTTTCGTCATGTGAGTGAGGTTACCGGAGGCCCAATTACACCCCCTCTCCCCCAGTCTCTATAATCCCTGAATCCGGGAGTGTCAGACTCTTACTGACTAAGAACCACCCCGTTCCTTCTCCTGCACGTCGAGCCGGAGCCCCGGTAACCCGTTAGGTTCTCCGCGACTGCTTATCCCATAAAAAAAACAAGCAGACGCATCACCAAGTACGGCAAACAATCGGAGCTGTGCGCACCCTAAGAGACAAGTGCGTTGCGTGGCCTGCGTTTTTTCGCCTTTTCGAGGGATTGGGGATTTGTTGGAACTTTACTATCATACTTTTATTTAGTTTATTATACATGCATATGTTATCCCTTAACTGAATTGCGTATAGTACGGAACTCCTTGTTATAACGCAAATTGTATCCCTTCAAAAAATAATATAAAAAAATAGGGTGTGAGCGTTTTGAAAATCATCCATTTTTTGTAGATAATAAGTTGAATCTAATTTACATAAACGGTTATTGATAGAAGATTGATTGCTTTACCAGTATAAATTGTATTGCTAAAGATGTGGCGTTATCCGGTTATTTGCAAAATAAATATTGTCCTTCAGAATTCCCAGTGCAACGGGCCTCTGGAGGAAACTATTTACAATATTATAAATAAGTATTCATAGATAATTATATATGTTTATGTTTGTATGAATTGTTGCACGTAGCTTTACTTACATCTCTAATTAGACCAAAGTTGGAAAAAAAACTATAGATATAACGAAAGAATAGCGTAGGTACTGGTGTGTGAATTGTTTTTTCGTAAGAATTGTGGATTACTTACCAAAATTATAAAACTAACTCATCGTAACCCTAACTTTAACAATCTTACAATTACAATGGAACAAAAAAGCAAATTAATGCAATAAATTTCGTCAAAATCTCCCGTAGTTTCGTCATGAAATAAGGATAAACAAACAGACATACATATTTATAATAATAAGTACGTCAGTATATGAATATTATTCTATTGTGACATGCCCCACTTACGGAGGCTCGAGTCTGGCAACCACCTATGTTTGTTCCGACATAATGATAATCATAAATTGTCCTCAAAATAATAGCAATTCAATGGCGGCCATTGTTATTTATATGCGTTTTGGATCGTACAGCATTGTCATTATATTAATATTTCGTTTTCATATATCCGTCATAATTATATCTCTATTATTCTATTTCTGTGAGCAGGATAAGAGATTTATTTTGACCAAAACAACTGAATATTTGATTGATGATTGATTTATACTAAACTAGCGACCCGCCCCGGCTTCTCATGGGTGCAATATGTATGTATTATACGTATAAACCTGCCTTAGGAATCACTCTATCTATTTAAAAAAAACCGCGTCAAAATCCGTTGCGTAGTTTTAAAGATCTAAGCATACATAGGGACAGACAGACGGCGAATAGCGACTTTGTTTTATACTATGTAGTGAAGAGCAAGACCACTCAACATCAGAATACCTTATGTAATAATAGTAGGTATAAGGGCCAATTTTTCAATGATCACATACATTTTAACTGACGAATAACTTTGAATATTTGACAATTGATGATTTACTCCTGTGTCGTGGGTGCGTTTTACAAACATACAGGTTCACATACAAATGACACCCAGACCCGAAACAACAATTTGTGGATCACACAAAGTGTTGTTCCGTGCGGGAATCGAACCCGAGACCCCTTGCCCGGCAGTCGCACTTGCGACCACTCGGCTAATGAGCCAGTAATCCAACATTCAGCATTTAACATCAACGTGCAACATAGGACAATATTTAGCTGTATCTAGGGACCCTAATAGTTAATTTCCTGTCTCCTAAATAGCATTTTAATCAAATCTAATAATAGTTGTAACAACGCAGAAGGAAATGCTAATAATTTAATAATGTACCTACTTAATTGGTATATCTATTTTATCCTTCCTACTTCCATCATTTTATCTATTTTATACATAAATAGTGAAAAGTGGGTGTTACATTGTACAGTGGCATTAAGTGCCGTAATATGCACCTTTGCCTACCGCTTCGGGAATAAAAGGCGTTATGTTATTTAAGATGTTATGTTATCCTGTTATTTATGTCTATTTTAAGGATATCTGTGTTGGTCGGCTGTATGTACATACTACGTTATATTTGTTAAATAATTGACACTAGCCACAAAGCTCATATTCGCAAGTAATCGACTGATTGATGAGTACACCTGTATCCCTTGAGGTAACACAAGTGCATTGTGGATAATTTAGAACACTGTTTAAATGTATTATCATTATCTTAAAATATATTTTAAGTAAAGACTGCCTTGTTGGCCGAATGGTAGCAACTGCGACTGTCGGGGTTTTTAAAAATTCTCAGCGGTAGCACGGTGTTCGGAATTGGGCCCGGTATATGACAAAAACTCACCCCCTATTACATGGGACTTATAACATAAATAGCGAAAAGTAAGTGTTACCTTGTACAGTGGCATTAAGTGCCGTAATGTGCACCTCTACCTTCCTACCTCCAGGGATAGAAGGCGTGATGTTGCTATTATAAGTTCATTTCGTGTGCTATGTCAATCTATTTATAGCTTAGTAATTAAAGCATACCAAAATAGCACAATTACATTTTATTACTCTACAAACCGATTAATGTTTGTAGACGATATATTTATCGATACATACCTACTCATACCTATTGTAATCAGAGGCGGATTTAACGTAGAAAACACCCTGGGCGTTTGAACTATATTTTTTGGCACCGTCACCGTGGCGTCTTACTGTGCCTGGCGCCCTAAGCATTTGTCTAGTTTGCCTTAAACTGTTAAAACACCGCGAGGACACCGGTGACCGCAACCTATTGTTCATTAATTGTGTCTATAATGACGGCACTCAAAGAGTTAAGGATAATATGGCTCTGCATGTAGGAAACTGTAATCACTCGATAAATGAATAAATTTCTAGTTTCATAAAAGAAGGAACTTAAACCATTTACTTTAACATATTCTCAACTATACTGAATGTACACAATAATGTTATAATACGAGACAATAGGTGTTATAACATACAACTGATATATCTTCCACTTCTTGAATAGTTTAACATAGTCTGTTTATCATAACTCATCCATTATGTCAAATAGAAATATGCTACATAATATATGTGGGCCTGTATTCTTGTGACTTCCTTTTCATTTTATTTTATTAAATAATAATATTTTTTCAACGCCAGATATATGTTAATTGAGGAATAACTTCGAATATTTGACAATTCTTCCATACTAAAAACTGTCAAATGTCAATTTTGTTCTACAGTTCAGAAATAACTGATGATTGAAAAATCGGCCCTAAGACAGCCATCAGACCACCACGAATAGGGCTGATGCCGGCACGGAGCCGCGGAGAACGTAAAAGGTTGCCGGGGCTCCGGCTCGAAGTGCAGGAGTAAGAACGGGGTGGTTTTTAGTCAGCAAGAGTCGGACACTTCCTCCCGCCTCACCCAGGCGGGAACGTCATTCGATAATCCCTTTAAAAAATCCTTTATTTTTTAGTAAATTACCTAATTATGTTAAACTACAACTGAAAAAAATAAATGCTTTGAAAATAATTGTGTAATGACTATTTTAGTCCATATAAATAGAGCTTTAAACATGTTTCAAAGGCTTGAATATCAAAAATCTTGTTAAGACAGAAGTTTGATTACTTACGCGCAAATACTGAAAGGCTACTCAATTTTAAATAGTACTTGAATATGACGCCATCTCTGTTATTTAACAAAGAATTTGTAGTGACAGAATAATACTTAAGCGCGACTTAAAACAAACTTTTTTTTAAAAGAGTAACGAATGGTGTTACTTGCTCGTTCTTCTCCACTCGAATCGACATTTTGGAACGAGCGCCTAGCTTCACTGACGGACAGACCGACAGACTATTATATATTTCATATTTGTTGATGTTTCAAAAGTACCAAATTATGGTTTAATTGAAATAAATGCTTTTGAGTTTAAATTTGTCTTAAAATTTAGTAGCTTTTGAGTATTTTGACATTAGAAAATCCTGAGAAAAATATCTATCAAAGTTAAATTATAAAGATACCTTATACATTCACCAACTAACTAAATATTAATTAAATATTTAAATATGAATGTTTAAGAATATCTCCAACCTCAATACGCTATGAAGTAAATAAGGAAAGGATAGAAATATAATGCATTGTAATGTATGTACCTGCCACGGCTAGAATACTATATAATTAATTTTATAGATTTTGATCTGAATATTTACAATATACACTAATCAATAAAAGTTTGGTCAAAAGGAAAAAGGTAGCTTATAATTATCACTTTTCCTAGTTAACTATCTAATATACAAATAAATAACTGAAGTATCTGTTTGTAATATAAAAATAACTGGTTTTTACTACAAGCATATGAATACCTATACATACGATACATATACCAAAATAACACATTTTACAATTTTTGTCTGTCAGTCTGTCTGTTTGTACTGGCTAATATTTGGAATGACTGGACCGATTTCGCAAGATTTTTATTGGTAGGTAACTGATGTAATAAGGAGTAACATAGGATGCTTTTATTTTGGAAAATTGAAACAAAAAAAGTTGTACTCTAAAATTCATATTCCGTAGACGAAGTCGAGGGCAATAGCTAATCAGACATAAAAATCATAACACAAAAACGTTCCCTTAGAATAGATAAACAAACACACTTTTACATTATAATGCATAGTAAGGATATATTTACCTTTCGGCAATGGTGCCTCCTCCTTTATGCGGCATTTCGGCATGTGTGGCGCTGCGTTGCACACCGCCACCCACCCTACAAATAAATGAAAAAAAAAACATTAATAAATAAATCGTCACTATTATAAAGGAAAATATCAGTTTAGAATGATAGATAACAGAGGTTGAAACATGCTGGAATTAAGACCACGTTTCGATGACTATTTAATCTGATTTATTTAAAAAACAAAACTTATTTTGCTTCTGTTATACTTAATAACATATATAAATAACATTAATCTAATAACAATCCTAACATTGTTGAATTTAAAACGCGAACAAATTGTTTATTTTGGAATGATAGACAGTAAATTATTTCATCCGAAACACGAAGATACAAGAGGCTCAAGTTACTCATAATGCTTAGATGCTAATTAAAAACTCGAATTTTTAAAAACTAGACTATAGAAAAGCCAAGAAACCAAACAATAAATAATACCTGGTCTGCTCAAACTTTTCTTTGAGAGACTTGAAGTTAAAAAGTCTTTCCTCGTACCGAACGGACAACATTTTGGAGATATAATCACTATAACCACACAGAATGATAAAAAACCACACCACGTTTTCACATATCTATAAGAAAAAAGTATTTTAATTCACTATATTTATGTTATTGTTTTGTAAAAGGGACAATTGATCGCGTGAAGGGACGATGACAGACTGACATATGGAGCGTCGTTCTTTGAACGCGTTCACAGATAACAAGTATGTATTTATTATAACAAACAATGGCGGCCTATGTTATCCTCCTTGCTGTATTCACTGTTTAGATTTTATAAAAAATAATGTGGTTAATTAATTTTAATTTGATCTACTCGTTTCCTATTGATATACGCGAACTAGTTATTGTTTTATTGGTTTTTTAACCAATAAAACAATTTTTTGTTGTATTATAATCAGTGAAGTAAAATAATTTATTTCACATTTGAATTTGTTTAATGCATAAGAAAAATATTAACACAAGAGCACTAGAAACTCAACCCAAACGTCTTCAAAGAATGAATAAAACCTAAGAAAATATATTTAAAGAAAGCAAATAAATATAAATAAAAACACAGGGCACTATCTATTGAAATAACTTTTCAGCAGTATATTAATCAAATATCGTATTTACATGCGATCGTAAAATGAAATGAAGTGGACTGTCCTGGACCATCAAATTATATCATAGAAAACAATGTTTTTTTAAACTATTTCCACATTTTATTACCACGGTCGGATCATAAAGTATTGCAATGCTTTCCAAGTTTATTCTTTTGTAATAAATAACTCTAATGTTTGTTCAAGGCTGAGTAATAGAGAAAATATTGTCTAAAGACAAAGAAAATACTTGATTTCTTTACAATAGTTTTAGAAAATTAATAATAACGTTTGTATTGTGTTAAATTAACATTGTTTTATTATGCCATTTATTGTTTCCACGACATAACTAGCATATTTAAAATGTTCTACCTTAATGTAAATAAATAACAAAACAAGAAAAAATTTAAACTCTTTCACATAAAATACCGAACAAATATTGATTAAACTTCAGCAAAAAATGGTTAGTTAAAAGCTCACGCTAAAAAACCATTAGCGCATTTTTGTTTTCAATAAAAACTCAGTATAAATCCCGTACCTACATCAAATTACCAACCATTCATTATTAAACACGGTCGATACACAGCAAAAACATAAAAACCATCTATACCTACCTAATAATATATAAACAAATATCTATAATCACAAATCAAACTACAAAACGCACCATGCATTCCTAATTACTCGAAAATAAATTAACTATTAATTGCCACTAGTTTCATAAAGGGAAACTCAATTAACTAACTGAAGCAATCAGTACTAAAATCGAGCTAAAACATTAATTAATCGTAGGTTATACAAACCAGTTGTTTGAACGTAGCAATATTACGTATTTCACGTGAGAAATATATTCACGTTCGCGTGTTGAAAGGGCCACGTGTGCGCCCTACGCGATGCGTCGCGCGACTGGGCGGGCGGGAGCTTCCAGCCTTCGAGGCCTAAACTTTAACTATTGTAACTCGAATCACTAAAGTCGTGAATGAAAAGGTTAGAAAGCAAAATACTGATTGAAAACATGACGTCTGATAGTCGAATATTCTATTTTATGCAATCTAAGTACAACGACAAAATAACACTTCAAAGATTTATAATTTTCATGTTTTTAAGAGTAATTTTAACAAATAGTAATAATCTTTCAGCCAGTCAGTACCTACAATTTATTATTCATACAATCTATCGTGAGAGTCAATAAACACAAAAACCGAAGCACTGCATTGCACAAAAAATGGACCATGATCATGCAAAATGCAACATTAAAAAAATATTCGTTCGATCAGCGTTTCGACGATTCAAAATCAATATTGGTACGAGTCTACGTTTACCCTTAGTACGTATGAAATTCAGAGTCAACGTGTATTGGTGTAGACAGAAGGTATGATAGCAGCCCCCAGGCGATGCGTTTACACTGTCTGTAGTCACTTCTAAAATTCACGGAACGAGATTCGAAAGCCTTTAACACTCTGTGGCGGTTGGTTGAATAACATTTGTGTGCTTTTAAAAGGTAGTATTTTACCGTCGAGTACCGGTTTTGTAGACACAATTATAGAACAATAGGTTGCGGTCACCGGTGACCGCTTGGTGTTTGACAGTTTAATATCTTTTCAAGATTTGATATTTATTTTTAACAACTCTATATTAAGGGCATCATTGAATTGTCCCCTAATTTAGTCAACAAACGTGTCAATAACTTTGCAAGTGAGTGCACCGCTTAATTAAGTGTAATTTTTAGTGCTTCGCGAAAGGAAGTCCGATGCACTTTACGGACTGTGTAAATTAAGTTTAACACCTGTGTCGTTCAATATTGCTTGAAGCGACCTCTTTATAAATTTCGTGGTCCATTTTAGATACCTACTGTGAAATATGGTACACAAAAGCCTAACACATTTGGGTTTTCCAATTCAAGTGAATCATCATGTCCTTTGGGAACTTTGAGTTAGCTTTTTTATCTGTACACATCTTTTGCAAGGATTTAATTGACTTTTAACATCATTATGTCACACTAAAACCCTTACAAATATATCTTCCGAACAAATTCTCTGAAGCGCCTTTGTTACACTGGCTGACAATACTTCCGAACTATCGAAAGGCTTTCGATACAGTGCAGAACACAAGACTAACAAGGCGGGAATACATCGCAGAGGATATTAACAACGAAACTTTGTCTGGCGGGTGTACGGCTGCCATTGTGGAATAAACAAAGGGTTGACGCTCATTAGCACATTACTGAGTACCGTCACCATGCATTACCAGTCAAATGCTTATGTAAATGTGTTCTTTGGTAGAAAAAGAAAAATTCTTAAGGAAATATGAATATTAGTTAAGTTTAAGGTACTCAAGTACGTAGACGTACTACGACTTCTTTCCAATTTAACAATAGGTTAGGTTTATTTTAATCATCATGTAGGCTTCTGGGTTCAGTTTAAAGCAATAATTGTAAAGAAATTCAATAAAATCACCCTAAAACCATCTACAGCACATAAATAATGCATCATGTGGCCATCCGCCTAAACAAAACGCAAAACCGACCGATTCACCATTGGAAATCTACTAAGTAATTCATCATAGACTAACGGCCAACTGCATGGTATTCCATCGGCATAATAAATAACCAGACTATAGACTAGACTATAGGTAACCTATCAATTTCCTGACGTGAATTTCCCATAGACGCAGTACGCACACTAATGCAAAGGTAAACGTTGCAATGGGGGTAAGTATCGACGTACATGTTTACAACCCACACATAGATATTGTATGGGGTAGGACATCGCCTGTCGGGTCGTCTTTTGTTTGTATATGTAGAGGTATAAGTAGAATGAATAAATTAGTGTTCCTAGTACATTATTAGACGCTGTTGCTAAGTGAAGGGAAACGGATAAAATTTAAATAAAATATTTGCTTCGGAAATGCGTTAAGTTTAAATGTTTTGGAAGACTCCTTTTCGCGAATAACGAATGAATTTTTGATAAAGACTGATTGACGAATATTGGAAAGGGATAAGAATGAGTGACAGTTTTTGGTTTACCGTCGAAATATTTAATGCAAAAGCTAACGAAGTAAAGCTGTTGCTGGAATAAAAATGTTACTTACAATTCTAATTTTATAGTCTATGCCGACTAGAATAATTTTGATATAAAACTATGCTTACGTATCCAAAAGTCAGTCATTTGGTCATAACAATAAACGCACGTCCAAAACTTCGTAGACAAACTAGACACCTAATAGCCCTTACTCTATTAGAGATTTTAGAGGTCCAGGACAACAGACTAATTGCATTTACCAATTAAATGCGACCCGTGGAGCAAGGGTTTACCCCAAACTCCCACAGAGCTGTTAGAAAACGTGGTACTAGGTATGCTAGTGTGCGCGCTCTAGGGGGAGGCCTCTCGTGGCTGAAATACTACCTCGAAACGCTAGCTTTTCCGCAGTTCCGCAGAAAATGCGATACCGAACCTCAAACGATGGCATTTCGCTACTCGCCTATCGGCTGCGGATTTATGCAATTCCCAGCATTTTAACATTCGCGGTTTATTGCGAAAATATATTTTATTTTATTATAAAACCAAGTGCGCTTCAAAAGCGATATGCAGTTCGTTCATTTTGTTTTTTGATGAAGAAAATTCGATTAATATTTTTGCTCAAAGGGTAACGAAGCGGATTTTTAATTGAAAGGGACATGAAAACACTTGATGTTGTTCAATACAGAATTCCATCAATGAGCGTTGCGACAAACGTGATAAAATGGCAAAAAAGCTACTTTTTTACTTCTAGCATTAGAGTTTAAAATCGTGTGATATTCTCATTTGATACAACATGCGGATAATTGAATCGAATCGCCATTCGTGGGTGTCATCGCAGGCACTCATAGCTCATAAATTAACTAGTATAAAATCCATTGTATTTGATCCGAAACTTTACTGCATATGAAACTATAAGCCTTCGGAATAAGCCTAAAGG